GAGAGAGAGAGAGAGAGAGAGAGAGAGAGAGAGAGAGAGAGAGAGAGAGAGAGAGAGAGAGAGAGAGAGGCAAGCAACAAGCATCTGAGTGGGTTGCTGGTAGCAGCAGGAGGGTTTAGTCTTTCTCGAAGAGTGTGTGGAGCAAGCCTACTGCCGAGAGGTTTAGAAAAGAGGAGGCATGATGCAGCTGCCATAGTAATGTAGTTAGTAGGATGATGTGGAGCTCGGGGGCAAGCAGTGAGAGACGGAGTGTCTTTCAAATACCAGCAGCAGCAGCAGCAGCAGGGTTGGATCTTTCTCCGAGAGAGTGTGTGGAGCAAGCCTTCCGCTGGGAGGTCGAGGAGAGAGAATGCGTGATGTAACCACTGCCAGAGCAGTGGAGATATTCGGATTCGGATGCGGCGTAGAAACGACGTTGAAAGAGTCGCAGTCGCTGAAGGCGTGAGCCAATCCAGCACTGGGTCATTGGTGCAGAAAAGAAACGATCAGTACGGGCGCGTACTACTGTGGGTCTTCCTCATGTTAGGAGGGCTCCGTTTGTCTTGCAGCGTACGCAAGCATGGCAACCAGTCATGAAGGCTGTAGTTGTCCTTCTGTTTGCTAGTGTTTAGAACAGCGAAAATATGAGCCGGCCGGAGGGGCTGCTGATGTTTAGAACTCAGAGAAAATCGGGGACGGGGCGCCGAATGCGCGTAGTTGATAGAGTGGTAGCAATTGCATGCTGCTTGGTACTTTGAAGTACACCAAGCGGCAGCAGTTCTTTTAGCTTGCTTGTTGGGAGGCCTGCGTTTTAGCGTAGATGCAGCGGAACTGGTGGAGGGGGAGGAATGACATGCTGTGTGAGGAATCGAAGAGTCGGACGAATGGCAATTAGAGAAGGGAGGCGTTTGTCCTTCGGGGCATTCGTGAAAATTGGAACGATACAGAGAAGGGTAAATTAGCAAATGGACCCTGTGCAAGGATGACGCACGCATAAATCGAGAAATGGTCCAAATCTTTTTATTTTTATTTTTTTAAAGAGAAGGCTGAGAAGGGAGGAGTAATCGAGTAATGTACCGTCCTCGTTGAAACATTGAACCTAGTAGCGAACTGGAAACCGTGACTGCACACCGGAGTGGGGTTGTTTTTCGCCATGCGAAGATCGTGGGCATGCAGCATCTGCAATCATCGTAGCGACCCTTCACTCAGCGTGTCGGTGTCCTGTGTGGGGGCATTGAGAAGCGGGAGTGTGTGCGCGAAGAACAATGTTGGCCGCTAGCCTGCTCGACCCTGTTGTTGCAGCGGGGGGGGGAGGGGGGGGTTGTTCAAGCCTATCTTTGGCTCCTTTAAAAAAGAATAGAAAACATGAGCAATCCAACCTGTAGGGGGGGGTCCTTGTCCTTGCAGCAGCAGCAGCGGTTCCAGTCCATGCTCAGTGTTAAGCTGAAGGCAACACAGTGTGATTCTTCATCTCACCGGGAAGCCTGTTGAAGTTGTGGTTGGGGGGGGGGGGGGGGGGTAGAAAAAAGGGAGTTTGTGTGCAAAGCACATGATGCAACAGCAGCAATGCCATTCTGACTTCAGTGTTAAATCGCCAGTACACGGCCCCAGCCTTGCTGAAAAGAAACCCGTTGCCTTTCCGAAGAAGTCGGCGCCGGCGCGCCGTTGATAAAAGAAATCGGCGGTCGGCGTTGCATTTCGGCCTCTGACATGGCCCCGCGGCCGATGTGAGGCGTGTACTGTTGGTTTAAGCTGAGCAGTACAGTACATGCTGTGATTCTTCAGCTCACCAGGAAAAAGCCTGCATCACACTCATTCAGGTTGTAGTGGGCCTTTGCGGGGGAGGGGGGGGTAGAAAAGGGTGTTTGTGTGCGCGTTGGGAAGAGGGAGTTTGGGTGCGAAGTGCATGCAGTAGCAGCAATTCCATTCCATGCTAAGTGTTAAGCTGAAGGGTACACGCTGTGATTCTTCAGCTCACCAGGGGGGGAAAAAGCGTGCCTTATGGAAGGAAATGGGAGGAGGAGATGGTCTAGCACCTCAGTCAGCCTTGTGCCAAACAGGTTATGCGTATTGATGTGCTATGTGCGCACACAAGATTGTTAGAGCGTCGTGATTCCATCGGGGTCAGTTGTGATCATTGGCTACATCTTGGGGCCCCCTTGTCGACAACTCGGTCATTTTGTCAGTTATCCCTACGGCAAAGGTGCATTGCGAAAAGATCCGAGATGAAGCGAAGGTTGAATCCGAAAAGGCTTCTTCTTTTGACGTTCGTTCGCATCCCTCCTTGTATTGATATCGTATGTGCACACACAAGATTGCGAGAGCGCCATGATGCCATCGGGGTCAGTTGTGATCATCGGCTACATATTGGCCATGTCGACGACTCGGTCTTTTTGTCAGTTTACCCCTACGGCAAAGGTCTTTTCGTCAATTATCCCTGCGGCAACCGTGCATTGTAAAAAGCACAGAGATGAAGCGAAGATTGAATCCGAAAAGGCTTCTTCTTTTGAAGTTCATTGGCACCCTCCCTCCCTCCCTCCCTCCCTCCCTCCCTTCCTATCCGTTTGCAACGAGCAGTCTCTTCCCTGTTATGATCTGATTCACTCACGTGGGCGAGACGGAATCGAATCCTTGTTTTTGAAAGTTATCTCTGATCAGCTCTTTACGCCCTCCTTCAGTGCTCCCTGTTCCCCTTGCCCTCCTGTTCTCAATAGCTTAGGGTTGCTTTGTCTATACCCCTCCCTCTTTCATGTCCTTCTTCTCTGCCTTTTCATTCGCCTGCGTCCTTCCCTTCCTAAACCCCATTTGCAATGAGCAGTCTCTTCCCTGTGATGATCTGCTTCACTAGACGTGGACGAGACGGAATTGAATTCTTGTTTCTGATATCTTCTTTGCGTTCGCTTTCACCGCTCCCTCTTCCCCTTGCCCTTTTATTCCCAATAGCCTAGCGTCGATTTGTCTATATCCCTCCCTGTTCCTTCTCGTTCTTCGCTGGATTTTCCCATTCCCTCCTCTACTTGGCTGACTCCTTTACTGTTTTCCGTCCTCTCGATTCCTGTTCCGTTTGCTTGTTCGTCCTTTCCTACCGGCTTGTATTTCGCGTTTATCCCTGGTGTTGAGCTCCGTCTTACTTCCGTCTGATTGCTGTTGGCTTGCTTCCTTAACCCTACTGCTTCTGTTTGGATTTCACATTTACCCTTGGTGTTGAGACCTTCCTGCTTGTATTTCACATTTGCCCTTGCTTAACAGAAGACCATAGCTTGTTTAACCATAGCTTCCTGTTCGGATTTCACGTTTACCCCTGGTGTTTTAAGCTCCATTTCACTTCCTGCATATCATGTTCGCTTGCTTCTTTAAGCATAGCTTCTGTTTGTATTCCACGTTTACCCTTCCTGTTGAGACCTTCCTGCTTGTATTTCAAATTTGCCCTTTGCTTCACAGAACACCTTGCTTGTTTAACCATAGCTTCCTGCTTGTATTTCATGTTTACCCCTGGCGTTGAGCTCCGTTTCACTTCCGTCTTGTTCCTGTTCGCTCGCTTCCTTAACCCTATTGCTTCTGTTTGTATATCACATTTACCCTTGGTGTTGAGACCTTCCTGCTTGTATTTCACATTTGCCCTTGCTTCACAGAGCACACCATTGTCAGAGGGCCCAAGTGAGCAAACTGCCGATTAAACCACCCCTGCTCCTGTCCATATTTCACGTTTACCCTCGGTGTTGAGACCTTCCTGCCTGTATTTCACATCTGCCCTTGCTTCACAGAACACCATTGCGCCAGAGGACCCAAATGAGCAAAGTGCCCATTAAACCACCCCTGCTCCTGTCCGTAATTCACATTTACCCTTGGTTGTTGAGACCTTCCTGCCTGTATTTCACATCTGCCCTTGCTTCAAAGAACACCCTTGTCAGAGGGCCCACATGAGTAACGGGCCCATTAAACCCACCCCTGCTCCCACCTGTTTGTCTGCAGAAATTTGTCCCTTCAAGCTCCCAAATGAATCAATCCGTCTCCCAAGGCTGCGGCCCATCATTACTTCGAAACAGTGATGTCTGCCAGAATAGGGGGGTGGGGGGCGGACTTGCTAGACGTCTGCTCCCCCTGACAACATTCCAGCAATTGCCTGGTGAAGCTGGAGGACAGCATTTTTTTTTTTTTTTTCGGTATATAATGTTAAAAGTGACAGCAATTGTTTTGATTGCTAGCATAAGGGGGAACACCCTCCCTGTACATTAGATGCCAGCCAGCTCAGTGCGCACCAAGCTTTTTGCCGAGCGCCAGCGTCGCGAGCCCATTTTGGGGTCCGTGTGACAA